CAAAAAAAAAAAAAAAGAATGGTAAAAGATAAATTCAGCAGAGTGGTTGCCTATGGATATTAGTGGGGACTGTGATCAGTAATGAATTCATATTCATAGAGGATCAGTTGTGCTATTGTGCTTTGTTTCTTAAGGCAGATGGGCTATATTCAGGTGTTTGTTATATTCTTTGAGTTTTTACGTGTATAAAATGTTTCAGAATACATTAAAATATAATTATTGAGCTCAAACTGCTATGCACAGAGCCACATTGAACTGTTGTGAGGAAAGACAAGTACAGCAGGCCAGGCACAGTGGCTCACACCTATAATCCCAGCCCTCTGGGAGGCTGAGGTGAGGCACAGTGGCTCACATCTATAATCCCAGCCCTTTGGGAGGCTGAGGTGAGAGGATCGCTTGAGACCCAGAGATCAACACTGGCCTGGGCAACACAGGGAGACCCCGTCTCTACAAAACTTTTTTTTTTTAATTAGCCAGAAGTAGTGAGCACTCTTAGTCCTAGCTACTTGGGAGACTAAGGCAGGAGGATCACTTGAGCTCGGAAGCTCAACGTGGCAGTGAGCTAGGATCACAGCACTGCACTCTGGCCTAGACAACAGAGTGAGACCCTGTCTCAAAAAAATTACCATAGTATTTCAGGATGGCTGGATTTGCGATGCAGTGTGGGTTCCTCAGGAAGTGTTTTCTGCCTTCTCTGCTTTCAGATGGTCTGCTTCGGGCTTAGAATATCTCTCACAGGACCTTACTGAGTGAGCCACCACCCTCCCACGAGGTGGGTTCTCCCTGGTGCTGCACTCTCCATGGGCACTGAGCCTGTGCCCCAAAGTGAAAAGCTGACAGTTCTATCTGTATTCGTTTCCTAAGGCTGCTGGGAGCAGAATGCTACAGACTTGGTGGCTGAAAACAATACACATTTACTCTCCTGCAGATCTGGGGGTCAGAAGTCCAAAATCCGCTTCACGGGGCTAAAGTCAAAGTGTCAGCAAGGCCGATCCCTCCTGCAGCTTCTAGGGGAGAGTCAGTTTCTTACTTTTTCAGCTTCCAGAGGCCACTTGCATGTCTTGGCCTATGCCCCCTCCTCTGTCTGGGTGGCACATCACCCATCTCTACTGCCATCATGACACCATCTTCTCTCCCTCCAACTCCTCCTGGATCCCTCTTAAGAAGATCCCTGACCTCACACCAGGCCCACTGGATAATCCAATGCAGGATGGCCTCCCCTATCACAGGGTCCTTAGCTTAACCACAGCTGCAAACTCCCTTTGGTCATTTAAGGTAACATTTGCAGGTCCCGGGATTAAGACATGCTATATCTTCAAGGGGGTCATTATTCAGCCTGCCACAATAATTCATGGCATATAGCAAAGCTCCCCAGTTTTGCACCACAAGATGCTGGAGTCCTCTTTACTGCCCTCTTCCCCAACTCCTTTCAGCCATTTTGAGATTACAGAGTCTGTCACTAGCAACATGCCACTTCCTGACACTAAATTATGCATGAGTTAGGGTGCTGTTGGTTGCAAGAATTACAAAGTTCAGCTCGGATTAGCTTATACTATAAAGGGAATTGGTGGGTTAACAATTGAAAAAGCCCAGAAGTAGCTCAGAGTTTGGAGAATTGCTGATACCACAGCTCAACAATGACTCAAGGAGCCTGTCTCCTTCTGTCTGTCTTTTATGTCTGTGCCAAGGGCAGCTTCCCCTTGAGGTCACAGGATGCCTCTGTTGGGCCACTGGGATCATGTGCTTACGTCTAGTCAGGATGCTAGTAAGCAGAAATACTGTGAACTACTGTCAGTCCCTGGGAGGGGAGCACTCTTAAACACCTCACCAATTTCTGCTCAGGTTCCTAAGGCTGGCAGAAAGCTTTGCACGAACTCAGCAGCCAGAGTTCTGCAAGCGTTCTTGACTATGGCAGGAGCTCAGAGCTGATCAAGCTGGTGCAGGAGTCATACCTCCACCCCCGGCATTCTTAACGTCTAGTCTGGTAAAACAACATCTGTACAACATGTCAGGCAAAACAACTTTGTTATTCACAGAGAGGCCACAAACATCAACCCAAGCCTGGGATCTATGGCAAGCCAGTTCACCAGCATTCAGATAAGCTGCCCAGGGCCCTGGAGTGCATGTGCCCCAACTTCGCACCTCAGCTGAGGGACTTTAAAAGCGCTCCACTGTGGGTTCTATACCCCAGATGCCACTG